ATGTACTCATTAGTGTATACGTGGAAATACTTGCTTTGTGGACGAAGTTAACAATTACAGCGCTTAGCATGTGGATATCAAGATAATATGTGATGGAAGAGACAGATGCATTAAATTTTTTTGTAACTGAAAAAAAAAAAAGACGCACGACATACAGAAACAGCCAAACTTGACAGAAACAGCCAAACTTGACATAAACAGCCAAACTTGTAACAAATGATTGGCATGGTTAAGACATGGACAATGGATTTGAAAAAAGGCGTCTTCTTCTTCTTTGATCCTTCTGTCAGAAAACTTATATCAGGAGGCCGGTAGCCTTTATGAAAGCTATCGTGCAATCCATATAAATACACAGTTAAGCTAAAGTCGAGAGGATGACTTCAAAGCACCGGGTTTTATCTCACATGGTTCAGTCTCTCTCTGCAGAACGGCTAGCCACCTGTCGAGAGCGCTACGCGGAGCACGAACTCATAGGGATCTCCGCATAAACGGACGAAGTGAAGGCGCACTGACACATTAAAATTTTGAAGGAGCATTCAGCTACCTTATTATTTTCTATCGGCGGGGCAGCAATTATTATTATTATTATTACTATTATCAATATAAACGGAATGGTAAATAAATATAATATCTGAGATAATATGAAACACAAACAAATAAATTTCAGAAAAAAGAGAGAACTTGTTTACTTGGCAACAGGGACCACAGCCAAGTTTAATATTTTTAAAGGAGAGGGAATCCAACTTACGGAGCAACCAGGTTCCAAAAACCCCCGATCCACAAAATGCACCCAGTACAGGCAAAGTACGAGTTCGAATGCCCATGATACACACAAAGTACGAGTTCTGAACCCCCCACTACACACAAAGTATAAGTTCTAAACCCCCCCCCCCTCCTACGCCCACCCCATCCTACACACAAAGTACGAGTTCTGAACCCCCCACTACACACAAAGTATAAGTTCTAAACCCCCCCCCCCTACCCCCACCTCATTCTACACACAAAGTACGAGTTCTGAACCCCCCTACACACAAAGTACAAGTTCTGAACCTCGCACTACACACAAAGTACGAGTTCTGAACCCCCCACTACACACAAAGTATAAATTCTGAACCCCCCCCCCCCTACCTCCACCCCATTCTACACACAAAGTACGAGTTCTGAATCCCCCTACACACAAAGTACAAGTTCTGAACCTCCACTACACACAATAGACGAGTTTTGAACACCCCACTACATACAAAGTACAAGTTCTGAACCCCCACTAAACACAAAGTATGAGTTCTGAACACCCATTACACACAAAGTTCGAGTTCTGAACCCCCATTGCACACAAAGTTCGAGTTCTGAACCCCCCCCCCCCATTACACACAAAGTACGAGTTCTAAACCCCCCCCCCCACCTCCCCCCCCACTACACACAAAGTACGAGTTCTGAACCCCCCCCCCACTACACACAAAGTACGAGTTCTGAACCCCTCCCCCCCACTACACACAAAGTACGAGTTCTGAACCCTCCCCCCCCCCTACTATACACAAAGTACGAGTTCTGAACCCCCCCCCCCACTACACACAAAGTACGAGTTCTGAGCCCCCCCCCCCCCACTACACACAAAGTAGGAGTTCTGAACCCCCCCCCCCCCACTACACACAAAGTACAAGTTCTGAACCCCCCCCCCCCCCCCCCCCCACTACACACAAAGTACGAGTTCTGAAACCCCCACTACACACAAAGTACGAGTTCTGAAACCCCCATTACACACAAAGTACGAGTTCTGAAATCCCCACTACACACAAAGTACGAGTTTAAACGCCCCCGATTAACACAAAGTATCAGTTCGAACGCTCCACCAAACCCCCCCCCCCCCCCCCCACTTCACAAAAATTACGAGTTCGGAGCACCAACTACACACAAAGTACGAGTTCGGAACACCCAGTACACACAAAGTACGAGTTCAGAACACCCAGTACACACGAAGCACGAGTTCAGAATACCCAGTACACACAAAGCACGAGTTCAGAATACCCAGTACACACTACGAGTTCGGAACACCAAGTACACACAAAGTACGAGTTGGAACTCCCCAATACACACACAGTACATGTTCGGAGGTCACCGATACACAAAAATTACCACAGCTGTACATCACAGTTAAAAATAAAAACAGACAGTGCTGGCAATGAGTCTTGTGTTAAAACAATATATTATGTCTAACAGGAATGTACTTGATGTCAGTTTAAAAGTAACAACTGGCGACAACAGCGATCCGGTATGTCAACAGAAAAAAAAAAAAATACAGTTAATAGCTGACGCTCATGGAGGGACCCAGAAAGATCTAAAACAGCTGCTTAAAATATTCAGCAGCGTGACAGTTTGAAAGCAGATACATATTTATGGGCTGTGAATTTAAAAACCAAAAATCTCACTTAAATGAGCTTATATTTTTATGAGTCAAGATGTGGTAAAAAAATTAAATAACGCAAAAAAAAAAAAAAACATGATGAATGGAATGCCAGCTTGATAACAATCACAAAAATATTATAGTGCAGCGACAAACCTTTATCGGCAAGCGAATGTAAATAACATGTACAAAAGCAAAACACAATAAAAGACGCAATAGTAAAGAAGGTTGTGCAAATAGTAATGTCCATGCCATGTGTTGTTTGAAATAAACGCATCCTTTGCATCCTTTTGCTGCATATACCTTTAGTAGTTCATGATACAGGTTTTTCACCATGCCTAGTTCAAAACTGCCCAGGGCAGTCTTTCTAGGTGTCTCTTGCTCTCCAACTTGGTCATTGTCACGACCTACTCCAGTTTTCCTCTTCTTTCGACACATCAACGAATGCATATTAAACGTAATCCCCGCGTGGGGCACTATTATATGGAAAACAAGAACAGACCCACTGCCTACCCAAAACATTTCTTAAATGTTTGTGTATTCTAGACAAAGCAATAAGGTCTACTGTATTCGTAAATGTTTGCTGTTGTTGTTATTCGACATATGCTACGTTAATATAAATTTCTGTAACCTATGGTGCCATTTGAATGGGTTGAAATGAATTCTGTCCGTATTCCATAGTTGTGGATTTTAAACTGTACGATAGACATGGCCAATATAACACCTTTTTTTGGGGGTGTCTAGTTGACCATGTTCTTAGTGCACTTGTATTCATGGCGAGGCGCAGACGCCTTCTGGGGGTGACAGGTTCAATTCCCGGCACAGTTACTATAGCTTTCGATTTTTATGTTATCTAGTGTGTTCTTCTATCTTTCCACTTCTTTCTATGAGTGCCGATCAATACACTTTCTGTTACTTGATTAATTCATAATATTTAACGGCCTCAAAGGTTCCCTCTCTGTTTATTTTTAGGAATGCCTACCCAAAAGCATGTCGTAAGAGTAGAGTAATTAGGAGCTTCCTTTGAAGTCGGAGTGCATCTGCCTGAGAGGTAAGGAACCAACAGTTTGCATACAAATTATTCATATACGTCAAACTGATGCACACGCAACACTCAGGTTCTGGAACAGGACTGCAGTCCAGAAGTGGACGAACAACCAGAAATTGCCGATGGAGTTTACAGCTGGTGAACGCGAAGTAGAAGTAGAAAAAGAAAAGTTGAAAATAAAGGTCCCTTTACACGTGAGTGGCACATCAGACTATTGAGGCTAAACTCCACTGACTGACTTTCTACCCCACCAGGACATCACACAAGCGATAAACACCCAATGACACAAAGTGCCACCATGTGGATGAGAATGGCCGTGGAGAGGTCCCAGAAACCGCGTTCAGACAATTGGCCATATTTATGGCCTGCCTATATTGCGGCCCCTGGCAAAAGCCAGGGTGGGGCTTCATATTAAAAAAATTCATCATAAAAAGGACTCAAGATTACGGCTAGACTCCATTGATGGGGTCAAAATTATGCCGGTGGCCTTTAAATCCTAGGACTCTGATTGGCTACCATTTGAGACTATGTCAACCTGAGAGTCAAGGTATTGTATTAAAAAAAAAAATTCCACTCCTTGCAGATTTGAACCTACGCCTTCAGATCCGCAGGCGGACATCTTGTCGCTGAACTACTGCAGCTTCCATTTTTTTCACAGCATAATGCAACATCGTCCAGCGCTTCTCTTACTCTTGCTCGGTCTCTCTTGCTCTCCAGGGTGCCCGTTGTTACGACGTACCCCGGTTTCTTCCTTCTCACAACATGAACAAAGAATGTAAACTGATTCAGAATTTCGAAATTAAGTGCCACAGACGAATTTTACAAATCAGTTATTTACAACACAAAACTAATAGATATGTCAGAAGCAAAATAGACAAATTTACGGGACATCAGAAGCCTCTTTTGGCAGTGGTGAAACGTCGCAGGCTAGCTTGGTTTGGACACGTGGTGAGACATGATCTGATTGCAAAGACTGCTTCGAGAAATATTAGGGGTTAGTCAAAGAAGAAAGGGCAAAAGAGAACCTGGAATGAAATCAAGAAATTTACAGGACTAAGTTATCATACACTTTTTCATCACGCATAAGACCGCGAAATATGGCGGGTTTCAAGTGATAGTTCTTCCTTAAGTACACCTTGCAGGTCGCTTGCGCTGTTGGCTAAACCTAACTGTGTTGGGATCGGGTGACGAACTCCTTGTGGTCCGGGTTCACGCCCGGGATAGGCAAAAAAGCCATATTCCTCCCAGATTTAGGGTATCTATAGTGAAATCTTGGTCTAAGGGGTGCGATATCCACAGTACCGAGCCAAAGGGTTAACGACTCATGGTTTCTGGGGACTTGAAACATTGAAAAAAATCCGTACACCTCATTGACCCTGACGGGTCAAGGATTATGTTACGTATAATGCCTTTATTATATACATAATTTTAAAAAATGGTCATTGGTATAACAGGGAGAGAGAGAGAGAGAGAGAGAGAGAGAGAGAGAGAGAGAGAGAGAGAGAGAGAGAGAGAGAGAGAGAGAGAGAGAGAAAGTTAAGAGACACTCACCATTGAGAACATTCACATGTGTACTGGTCACGTCCTTGTTACTGGTCCTGCAGACGTAGACGCCTCCGTCTGTGAGTCGTGCCTGTTTGATCTCCAGTGTGCTGATGATGGTACCTGTGTTAATGGACACATATTTGTGTATCTGCATACCCCTGCTCTCGTCTGTGGTTAGTGTGTTACCTCCCCTGTGGACACCAGACAGTGATTGTGTGAATATAACAGCTTTTCCCTTCTTGGTTCATCATCATCATTGTTACATATACTTTAAGGAATAATGTTGTCACACAAACCGGAAAACCGCCTGGCTTATTGCCAATATTTAATGAACCTTCTAATCATTGCTCATTGTTCATATTTCAGATCATCTTTATCGCACATTCAACATGACCATAACTGCATCCATCTCCTCCTGAGTGTGTCAAAATGTTTTTCGGCTAACAATTCCCATTCTTTTCTGTCTGATGTAAGGACGGGTGGCTGTCGCATGGCTTTCCTCTCTCTCGGCTCCATCAGCACACCTAGGGTATGCAGTCTCTTCGGTGAACAATTTTTGTCTATAAAACTAAAAGGCTCACAGTGTTTAGTCTCTCGTATGGCATTGATGAGTTCTCTTTTGTCCATAAAGGGCGAATCTTTCTACCCAAAAGCATGTCGTAAGAGTCGAGTAATTAGGAGCTTCTTTTGAAATCGGAGTGCATCTGCCTGAGAGGTAAGGAACCAACAGTTTGCATACAAATTATTTATATATGTCAAACTGATGCACACACAACACTCAGGTTCTGGAACAGGACTGCAGTCCAGTATTGTATTTAATATCCATGGCCAACCGGCTTGCTGGCTTGCCACGGCTTATCTGCTCGGAACCGTAGATTCCATTACTGCCAGCACATAAAACACTTATTGCCATGACTGCTTGCACTCATCACTTTCGTGGTGCAGCTAAGGAGGTCTTCGAGTCTGAGGAGCTAGGGAGGTATGGCTTTTGCCATAGCGACGGACTGTGCAGATTAGGACTTATTTTCCAAATAACAAAATCCCTAACCTGACCGGACACTCGAAACCAGGCCTTCCTCGTGAGAGCACTGCATTCCTAACCTTTGGCCAGCTACTTCTCACCCTTAAATACTGATTATATCGTTTCTGGTTTTTCATAATGCCTCAGTAGGTTAGTTCGACGTTAGTCTTCCCAAGCTAACTTCTGATTGGTAGTTCCTGAGCTTCTTGACTTCGCACAAAATTACGTGTGTGATGCCGTTGATATCACATGTCGTATATTTCAGCACGCCAGGGCTTTTAACACTCCAAAAAACATGAAGAAACTGGACCTAGCTCAACATCCCCCACCCCTCCCCCACCCCGCCCCTTTCAGAGAGTGCTGCTACCTTTGTCACAGGCATTCTTTTTTTTTCGGAATGAAAACGTAAATGCAAGCCATCGCAGAAACGAAACAACAGAGCTGGACACACCTGTTACCTTCAGGAAAGTCGAAAGTCAACCAGCCCAACAGACTTGTGAATGAAAAATGACCGACTCTATTTTGAGAGACTAGCGTCGAATTAACCGCCTCTGTATTTCAGATTCTGACAAACAAAACCGTCTGTGAACCAATCTCCGTTGATGTTCAGATCTAGAAGAATGTATTTCCTTTCTCTTTTTCCATTATATTCTAAGAAACTCGCAATAATAGTTAAGTCAACTCAGTAGTGTTGTTATCATTTACAAAGATCAAAATAGTGTTTTCTTTTTGTTCGAACCTCATTGTAAACAAATGCAGTCGGTCGTGCTTGTGAAATGTCGAAGACTGCGCGACTTAACTCATCTTAGGATAATCGATATCAACACTTCGGTGTTGCCGCCGATAATATTTTATATACTGAAACAATACACAATTAGGTTAAAATGAAAATTAAGTATAATAGTAGGAAGCAGAAACTTGCGCAACAAAAGCTACCGATCATCAGTAGGTTGGTCACTCGCTGAAAATGGTTTCGGCCTGTTTACATCCTAGAGGGGTGGCCGGCCTGGGACTTCTCCTACTGTGCGTAACGGACACGACGAAATGGTGGCTTTGCGAAGTTATAACGTTTTATGTATGTGTGCGTATATGTATATATATATATATATATATATATATATATATATATATATATATATATATATATATATATATATATATATATATATATTGTCGCTGCGATAGCAAATTATTCGCCTACCTGCACAGAGTGATAAATTGCTGTTGACTAGTCGGACAGACGTTTATCAGACAGAATATTCAGTTGGCAGACACTTTTGCTTATGGATGAACAGTTCTTTTCCCCTGGGAGCCCAGGCCAGTCTACCGAGGCCCTTCCCCCACCAGGTTCCGTTGCGTCCACGGCTAGCTCAAAGCTCTTTTCACAGCTCAGCTCAGCTTGTTAAGCGTCCGTTCACTCTCTTTACATCGCAAGCCCAGGTGCTATCGTACATTGTATGTGAAGGTGGAGATTAGCCTTTCTGCGCCTACCTCGATGGCGAAGAGTTTAACTGAGTACTCCTCATCGTTCGTCAGACCGGCCACAAGTTCTCCATATTTCTCGAGCGTATAAAGGTGGTTTACTTCAAAACGCAACTCATACGGCACGCTAAGTTGACGTTCTGCAGCAGAGAGCAAAACAATATCTGGTCTCAGGCCAGTCTTTCTAATTGGTTCAGGGTATTTCTCAAAGCTTTACATGTCAACCGCCAGTTGCCATTCCTTCGGACAGTCAAGTATGGATGGAGCGTCTGAGATTTTTTCAATGATGTGCTCTTAGATATCTGCCCGGTCCTGAGAAAGCGCATGGAAGGGATGTTAGGGCTGGCGTTTGGACGTTGGCCATCATTCTGGCTTGGTCCAACTCTTTCAGGACCTTATTGTGGCGCCATGTGTATCATCCCTGACCTAGGGCTTTTCTGCATGCGGACATTACCTGCTCAAGCATCTGTTTAGCTCTGCATAAGGAACATGTCGGTCGTCAGAGGCACGCTATTTTGGCCATGTTAACACCTGAAGGTAACGCTTCTTAAGCAGATGGAATGACAAAGCTCAGTCACAGCGGGACCATTCACCAGATAATACCCCATGTGGGTACTCATTGCAAGGCGCTCTAGAGGCCGACATAATGATTTTTTTACCTGTACTGAATCTCGGTCACATTACATCCTTTAAACATGGTGGTATACACTGACTGAATGTATAATCTCAGTATGTGTATAACACATCGCAGTTTGTTGTTAATCTTTTCATCTGCCCCCGTATTTGATATTCTTTCACTGCTACATTGTGTGTAATGTAGAACAGACATACTGCCAATCCAGTCTGCATTATCTGGGACAGTGACAAAGTGTGTCAGTCTATCAATTTACAATTTTTAGAGATTCATAAGGCGTGATAAGTTACTCATTTTTATTGTTTAAAGCTTAGCCTAGAACTGTCAACACACAGATGGTATCATCGTTAACAATCGATATGGGTGTGGCATTGATACTTGACGAACTGTGTCCATATTATACTATTAAGAGAAAGGGGTGACACATTTTATGTTAAGTAATATTATCACAGAGACATGGATACAAGAAAGAAAAAAAAAATAATGTGTTTGCTGCCAACGGTATCCGATTAAATTGATGGTCCGGTTTATTTGCGCCACTTCCTTGGCTGAGATTGTGTTATGTGTGCCACCTTGATGGCTTTAGGTCCATAACCTAATAGATAGAATACTACTTTTTATATATTTTCCAGTGTATATATATATATATATATATATATATATATATATATATATATATATATATATATATATATATATTTTGGGGCCTTTAGTTTCCTGATGGTTTTTGGGTTGAGCTGGCGAGCGGTCCAGTTTTATTCAGGTTAACTTTTGTGGATCGACGTTCTGGGAAAGAGAGGCTGGCCCAACGGTTAGAACCCTAGACTCTTATGATAGAGATCCCGATTCAAATAATTGGTAAGATTGACAAGTTTTTCTGTCGGGGGCTAACAATAAAATTTTAGCTTGCACAGTCCGTGGTGACAGCACTAGCTAAGAGGCCCTAACTTCTCAGGCTCATAAACAGTTATGCCTACGCTATAAGAGTAATAATAGGTGTAGTAATAGCATTATTTTTTAAACGACTTTCTGAACAAGACCTGCTAAATGATGATGACTGCCAATCCCTGCCTGGTTGTGACTTCATTTACATTGTATCCGTATTCGGACCCCTACACGACTTTGCGAGTAAACGGGACGCATCCGGAACTGTTCATGAAGGATTCTCATCTTTCAGGGAGTCATGCTGACTACAATTCTGGAGGGGCATGTTGCAATGCTATGCCTGGCGATGATGATTATGAGGATGGTGGCGATGAGGATGATGCCCGATCACTTACAGAAACCAGTCAATGTCCTCTGGGGGGTATTCTTGACTTGAGGCATTGCAGACCAGGTAGATGCGGTCACCTTCGTCCACAAAATTAGAACCTGAGATATGGATATCTGCAGACATATACAACATGACAACATTTCACTTCAGTAACCTCTAATTATGGCAGCTAATCTTAGCATGTGAACGGATTTATTAACGTGATCTCGTAGGTAGGGCAAAATTCGTAGGCAGGAAATTTTCGTATGCAGAAAAAACTCGTAAGCAGGAAGAATTCGTATGCAGGAAGAACTCCTATGCAAGAAGAACTCGTATGCAGAAAGAACCCGTATGCAGGAAGAACTCGTATGCAGAAAGAACTCGTAAGCAGGAAGTACTAGTATGCAGAAAGAACTCGTACGCAGAAAGAACTCGTAAGCAGGAAGAACTAGTATGCAGAAAGAACTCGTATGCAGAAAGAACTCGTAAGCAGGAAGAACTAGTATGCAGAAAGAATTCGTTTGCAGAAAGAACTCGTATGCAGGAAGAACTCGTATGCAGAAAGAACTCGTAAGCAGGAAGAACTAGTATGCAGAAAGAACTCGTACGCAGAAAGAACTCGTATGCAGGGAAACTTGTAGGCAGCGAAGATGCAGTTGTCAAGATGAATGTTGCCAATTCCGCGGACAGACGGGGTTAAGTATTGAAGATCTAGAAGCAGCTAATAAATATACCGACTGTAAGACATGGATTGAGTCGGCGTGGTGTAGCCACTAGACGCTCTCATGTGGATCTGAAGGTAGTGGGTTCAAATCCGAAAGAGCTGGACATTGTTTTAATTATAACTTTGGCTCCCATGGTGCCTATAAATGAAAAGGTACCAGGTAAAGCCCTAAGAAGTAAAGGTTACCGGCGTGATGTTGACCACATCACCCACTGAGTGTCGACTGGTATACAAAATATAGTCCTGTCCCTACCTACCCAATACACACAAAGGCGTCGAAACTGTGTCTTTATACGACGGGGACAATACTATTAGGGCAGGTGATAAGAAGATATCTTTATATCATTCATTGCCGTGCAATATGCTTTTCTTACTCCTTTTTTTTATTCACAGTTGTATTGAATTTGTGTGTCTGCATTACTACCTGATCACCGTCTGCGGCATTGTGGCTTTTAACAACCTTGAGATCTTGCAATTTTTATTTAAAATGTATTTGTTGATTTATTTAAAAAGATAAATTCCCGCTTTTACTTACCGCAGACAATCTTGAGAGGCATCTAAGTGTGGATATTTCAATTATGCAGTAAACTCTCATAATATGAAAAAAGTGCATATTGTATGATGTAGTAGTCAGCACCTGAAAATGTGTCAGCGACACTTCAGTCCGCCATTGTCGAAATAATCAGCGTCTTTAACAATCTGTTCACATTGATCTGCGGACCTGGTCTGGCCAATAGCTCTTTGCCGCAGTAACTCACTTGTCAGGCATTTCTCTTTTAACGCCAAATCTTCACTGAAAAGCAGGATTACGTCACCCTGCTGGTGAGTGATTCACCGATGCATTTCTATAGGTGTCATCCTGTGGTATAACAACCACATAACGCTACACTGCTACTGTATGGTCCATTGAAATTGTTGCGTGCTCATTTTCCGTTCCCCTTCGGGACTGTTTCGTTTTACCCTCCGCCTTTCCGCTGGTACTGTACTTTTTTAGGTGGCTAACAAAAGAATCACCAACGCCTATGATATTTCTAGACTATTTTCAATTTCTGCTGATTCTGCCAAATGCGCATCAAGTTATTAAAACTGTTTCTATTTATGGGTTTTTTTTAAATCTCGGTCCTTTATTAATATCCTACCCCAAACAAGGGAAATCCACAAGTAACGGGGCAATCTAATATTTCAGAGGGGGGTATATAAACTGCAAGCAGTCGTGGGGCATAGGCTGCATGCAGTCGTGTGACTAGGCTGCACTCTCCTGTAGGACGTAGGTGGGTTGGGGTTAGGGTCAGTTTTTGATATTTTGAGGTCGTCAAAAGCATCAGATAGCCAAGAGACCCTGTTTTATCAGCCTCTAAAATGTTGGACTGTCCTGTGACGTCATTTGGGGGTCGGATATTAATAAAGAACCAAAATCTCTCTCTATCTCTCTCTCTCTCTTTCTCTCTCTTTCTCTCTCTCTCTTTCTCTCTCTCTCTCTCTCTCACGCAGAAAACTAATGTTAATCGGATCACCTGACATACATAAGACGCCTTCATGCGTGAATCCACCTCACTGTTACATGTGTACACATGAACTGTTAAGCTTACGTCGTTTCCAACTCAATAAGATCAAGAACACACCTAACGTACAAAGAAAAACGAACTAAGGAACTGCATACGTTAATTTAGTTTTCTACTAAATGAAGCACCATTCATGTATTCAATTGTCAATTCATGAAATTTAATTGCAGTCATCAAACTATCTAGTAGTGAAAGTGAATGTTCTGAATACACTTGTAAGTAATATCAAGTGGCATTTATTTAAGGCGGCTGCCATAAAATATTGATATCTTTGAAGCTAGCAACATAACAGCCACATTGTATTTAACATAGGATCAAAAGACAATAATGAACTATGAAAAAGAGTGATACTTCAGTTGAAGTGGTAGCCTAGACATTCTATTATCCCGCGCTTTGCTGGGCTGTCAACAAATTAAAATCTCGATTTAAGCCGAGTTCATAATCGTGTAGATGTCTAGCTGTCTACCAGGTACCTCTGATGTGGTTACAGCTTCTCAATAAAACAATTATTTCCGTTCTGATCCACAATTCTTGAGTTGACAGAGTACGTATCTCTCCTATTTCAGCGTCACGTGCAGTAACAAAACGGTGCTGTTTCCAATAAGAAAAGACATTTTATCTGTATCCCCTAGGCAAGTAAAGTAAAATGAAGCACCCTTTTCACCGCCTTAAGGCATACTGAGCACATAGTGCAAAACCTATATTAAATAGACTAACCTACACTTAATGGGTGATGTAACTACCATCACACAGGCCACCTTTACCTCCAAGGATTTTATCTGGTAACCGTTTTGTGCTGGGGCGACCTGGGAGCCGAGGTCATTGTTTTGAAATACGGCTCTGTGTGGATTTAAACCTATACACCTACGCATCTAGCCGCTTCACGGTGACGGATTTCTAAGGTAAGCATGCGCAATAATCTTAGGCTGGCCACCTAGACTGCTCTTTGCGCGCTTCTACTGTACCGTTGAACAAATAAGTGGCAATGCCATTATGTATAAGGGAGAATCAAGTCAGTGGATTAAATTGCACTTCGTTTAGATATAATGATATACTTAAGACATAGAGCCTTAATACTTGACTGCACGTCACAGTTACATGTGTACGCATGAACTTGTGAGGCTTACTAGCATACAGCAGGCAGCTATGCGAGTCATTCTGGGTTGTACCAGAGACAGTTTGTCGGTTGTTGCAGGTAGGCTGAAGGTGCTGCAGGCAAAGACATATCTCAGATTAACTTTGCACGAAGCTCTGGGCGCATTTAAGGATCAGTGGCTGATAAGAGGGAAGTCATGGATGGCTCAGGCAGAACACACTATCAGACAGGTTTGCATCGTGTAGAACACTAGGCGAGCGGAGGAGTGGGTCAAGGTATCAGTTGAAAAGTCAGATCTGTGTATAGTCATCATCAAACTGAGCTGGGACTGCAGAGGGTGGCCAGCAGGTGCCACGGAGGTGGAAATTCAGCAAATAATTATAGACAATGCTCGCTCGGAGGATGTGATTTTTTATACATTTGGTTGAGTGTCAAGAGGCAAAAGAAGTGTTAGGGGTTTCTTAGCAAAAGTTCATAGTCGACTCTTGGTGCAGGAGAGCCTAGCATATGATACCACAATATCCAGATTAAGAATGGAGGCGGAGGCGGTCACTGCAACTTTCCTCTGATTAGTGAACACGACACACACACACACACACAGACGCGCGCGCGCACACACACACACACATCATGACTGTAACTAACTCAGAAAGCATGCTGAGGAAGGTCAGAACAGGCATTCTTCGCTCCGGAGGTCACGGCTGAGAGATATTGTCTGGATCCTTTCCCCAGGATACTGTTTGGATATGAATAGGCGGACTGAATGGCTGGCTCTGCACAACTTTGTGGAATATTGATGCATGGCTAACTTTTAGCTTAATTATACTACACAAACCTGGCTAGTTATTCAAATGCCTAATTATTTGTGCAGCTACGTTATCACACTTTATTTATGTTCATTGCGATACAGATACTTCGGGAAGGTCCAGCTAAAATTCTTGGTACTTAACCCTGAAAAACCCAGGCCATGTTTTAGGTGACATTTTTAAATAGTAGGCCAAAAGTCTATTTCAACCACACCTTTTTTTTTTCAATGTGACCTTCGCCTACTTTACTCAAATATTCCATCTGTGACTAATTGGGTCATGGTAGTAAAAGAAAATTACCATAAGAAAATACTTTACAATGCTCAAAAACGTTCAAATAATTTCTAGATATTTTAAAAATTAATAACCGCTTAATTTTAAAATTATATTACAGACTAAAATCAAAGAGTTAATAAGAGCGTCTACAAATGGTCAGCTTAGACACTAAGCAGAGCAGGACACTCAGTCACCTTGTAATTTGGGTGTTACTTCAGTAGTAGAAGTTATAATCCACAGTTGTAGTTTTAAAAGCTTTCATGAAACAGCCACAACATATTCGAAACATTAAGTTTGTGAACATGTCTCTAACATGAATTGGAGCATAGGCGTGTTCAGAAACTACTCTTTCCTTGATTAACCTGACAGAAAACACAAGATACAGTACAACAGTAGTGTCATGTGCCAACAGATTATGACCTAAATTTAGTCGATTTTACATAAGATTCTAATTATACACTTTAAGTTAGTAATTATTACTCACAGAGCCAGCTGTACACATTATATTTATACTCACACATGAAACAGAATATGCATATGCAGTAAATTTTACGAAGCCGCAGTGGTGTAGCTTCTAGACCAACGGTTCTTACCTTTCCTAATTTTGCGACCCTTCTGTACAGTTCCTCATGTTGTAGTTACCTCCCTAGTCATAACATAATTTTTGTTG